CACTAACCCGAAGCTTAGGTTCAATCAAAGGAATCGCATGTCAAACATGTTCTATGGGAAAACTTATTACTAAGCCTTCTTAGGACAAGATTTGTTCGAATCCTCCCATTTTTCTACAACGAATTCAGGGGACATTTGTGGAACGATTCACCCTCCCTGCGGACCATTTAGATACTTTATGGTTTTAGTTGACGCTTCCACATGTTGGTCACACGTGTGCTTGTTGTCCACAAGGAATGCTGCATTCTCCAAACTGTTGGCTCAGGTTATCAAGCTCGGGGCTTACCACCCTGATTATCCGATCAAATCTATTCGATTGGATAATGCTGAAAATTTCACATTTAAAACTTTTGATGACTATTACATGTAGGTTAGGGTTGATGTTGAACATCTTGTACCCCATGTTCACACCCAGAACGACCTGGCAGAGGCTTTCATTAAGCACTTACAAATGATTGCTCTATTGTTGGTCATACGTACCCAGCTCCCGATCATTGCTTGGGGCCATGCAAGATTGCACACAACAATGTTGGTCCGCCTGAGGCCTGTTGTAACACAACCATTTAGTGCCCTTCAGTTGGTTACCAGATACAAACCCGATATATCGCATCTGCGCGTTTTTAGTTGTGCGATATATATGTCGATCTCGCCACCTTTACGTACAAAAATGGGGCCTCAACAAATGATGGGAATCTATGTTGGATATTATTCTCCTTCGATTATTCGTTACTTAGAACCTTTGAAAGGTGATTTGTTTACCGCTTGTTTTACGGATTGTCACTTCTATGAGACAGTTTTCTTGTCATTAGAAGGAGATAAGAACGTCAACATTCCTAAAGAATGATGCGAATTATCGTGAACGATCCCCACTTTGTCTCATTTAGATCCTCGTACTACTCAGTTTGAAACTGAAATGCAGCGCATATTAAATCTTCGGAGTATAGCTCAAAGCATGCCATATGCTTTCACCTATCTAGCGCGCATGACAAGATCACATATTCCAGCTGCGAATACGCCTGCAAAGATGGATGTACCAAATGTACGATGAACTTCCCTCCTTGAGGCCCGGGATGCCAATCTTGGTGATCCACATACATTAGTTGCTAGCCAATCATCTGCCCCTACACAAAAGTATGGCAGACTCCTTGGTTCAAAGGATTCACACATCCGGAAGAGGAAATCCACGGTATAAGGTTCTGAAGAGCCTATCGTGAATCCAACTATCGCTTACTCATTCTACCCAACTCATGAGGAAATTCTAGATTATGGAAGCGACCTTGAAGAAACAAATCATCCTCCTGAGAATCGTGAGATTTCAGTCTATTATGCTAGCTTAGATGATGTGTGGCGTAGAAATGAGATGATTGTCGACGATGCATTAACATTTGTAGTAACTACTGAGATCATGTTGAGCGATGATATTGAACCGCGTTCCATTGATGAATGTCAACGTAGAACTGATTTGTCAAACTGGAAACAAGCAATCCAAGTTAAACTCGATTCGCTTACGAAACGTAAGGTGTTTGGCCATGTACCTCCTACTCCTCCACATATGAAGCCCGTTGACTACAAGTGGGTTTTCATTCGAAAACGTAATGAGAAAAGCGAAATTGTGCGTTACAAAGCTCGTCTTGTTGCACAAGGCTTCTCACAACACCCCGGGATTGACTATGACGGAACTTATTCACCCATTATAGATGTGATTACTTTTCGTTACCTTATCAGTTTGGTAGTTTCCAAAAAATGGATATGCAGCTAATGGATGTAGTAACCGCGTATCTTTATGGGGATCTTGATATAGTAATCTATATGAAAGTTCCCAAATGACTTACATTGACTGATTCAAATATTTCCAAACCCCAGAACAAGCTCTCAATTCGGCTAAGGCATTCACTACGGTTTGAAACAATCCAGAAGAATGTGGTATAACTGTCTGAGTGAGTATTTGACTAGTCAGGGATATGTGTGTAGAAATCGAAATTTTGGTGAAATAAATGTTGACCAGTAATTACAATTTCAACGCTCACATGTCACATAAATTTTACACGTAGAGTGTGACTAAACAAAAAATCAAAATAAATCGAAAAAGTCATCAAATAAGGACACGTGTCAACACCTGGCAGAAATGATTTATTTCATCTGAATATTATATTCAAAATTAGGCCTTGAAAATTTGTATAAATACAAGGCCATTTCATTCATTTTAGGACACCAATTCATAACCAATTCACATAACACCAAAACCTTGAAGCTTTAAAACTCTAAAGCGCCCAAGCAAATCCCGAAGGATCAAAAAAGCTCTCTTCATTCTTCATCAAATCCTCCATCAAGATCAAGCCCCGATGGCCCTTGAAGAACTTTCACCAATTCAAGATCAAGTCCCGACGGCCCTTGAATAAAGTGTTCATCGTTCATCATCCATTCATCCTAAGATCAAGCCCCAACGGCCCTTTGGATCAACAACATTAACAAATCCTCTAACCCATTTTTCACAAGATCAAGCCCAAAAGCCCTTGAAGAAACCCGCACAACTGTTCTTCAAGATCAAGCCCAAAAGCTCCTTGAAGATCCGTTCCCTCGACCTTCAAGATCAAACCCCAATGGCCCTTGAAGAAACTTTCAAACATTCATCCAAGATCAAGCCTCGATGACCCTTGGATCAATCACACATCCACAAATCAACATCTTACGGAGATCGAATCAGATGATCAAATTTGAGAGAGATTGTAACCCCAAAATCATTAATACAAAATATTATTTTGTACACGTGTTCTTGTCTCGTTTGTTTCAGAAATTTCCGTGTTTACAATGTGAACAACGAACTATGCCACATTTTAACATCTCGATCTAATGATATACTGTTGCGTGTAATTTTATCTCTACACGTCATTGCATTATTCCTTTTTCTTTTGAATAAACAATATTATGTACTCTAAGGGTGAGCGAATGGGTTAAATCTCACAAAGACAAGCAATAATGTGGTTCAAATTCGTATTTGACAAGATTCAAACCTAAAATCTCTCATCTCTCACCTCTCACTTACTAATAAATAAAAATACCACTAGACTGTAATTCTAAATGACTGCATTATTAAATTAGAATGTTACGTAAGAATAAACTCGTTCTATATAAGTTATTTCACAATTTCATTAAAACTATTGAATTGAGTATCATAATCGGCTTTATATGCAAATAATTAATGATTATATTCCCATATATCGTACTTCTAAATCATTTTAAAAAATTACTAAATAAGATCATTTGTCCAAGCTCATCGTGACTTATCATGACAATTAAAAAAATAATAATAATCTAATGAAGCACAAATGTAAACGCACATTTCAACCCGGTCACTCGTGGGAGAAAATTTTGTGTGGGGTTTGGCATGTTACTGGATTTTGCTGAGTGACACTACAATCCACTAAAAAATTATCACGTGGCAAGTCTTAAATATAATTTTTTTTCCCATTCTTTTATATTTAAAATTCACGTAATTATTTTTTTTCACTAATTAATATGCATCAATTTAATGGCTTATATTTTGTTCATCCCCCCCCCCTCCCTCCCTCTGCATGCCTGCCATCTTTAACTTCCCAAACAATATCATTGTGTAATAGTATTTGTTTTATCTCTTCGAATATGCTCTTTACGAAGACTGAACCCTTTCCTCATAGCATAAGCATTGCGTACTTGAAAGGCTTCAGCGTCAGGATTCACCACCATTTTAATTTTTACATCTTCTTAAAACTCCATTGTCTTAGCAGCAACCTACCAAGTGAAAATAAAATAAAATAAAAAAAGACTACCACATTAATAAAATACTCATAGTAAAGAACGGAAAAAATTATTGTATAAATATGTGGGTAATTCGTATCAACATATTAACCATAACATTGATTAACATTTGAGCCCTAATATTAGATAAACATGTTAACGAAAACAAATAAAAAATTAGGCTAACCCTAATACGCCTATATGTAAAGGTTATTCATGTCAAGTTCACTTGATCAAATCAAGTATTGTATCAATAACGAAAAAACTTAAAGATTCTTGATTGCTTCCCATGACAAAAGTTGGAGAAAGTGATTTTGTTTAGGGTACAAATTTTTTTATGAAAAACAGCGAGAGAAAATAGTCGGAGAGACAAAGAAGTGGGAGAGAGAAGAAAGTGAAAGAGTCCTGCAACATAAATTGGAGGGAATATTTGGAGTGGATAACCATGGTCTGCCACCAGTTATCCCATTTTTTTTAAAAAAGAAAGAAAACAAAAAAAATATATCCATTAGATTGATGTATATTAATTAGTGAGAAATATAATTATGAGAATCCTAAATATAAAAGAATGGGAAAAAAAATTATATTTAAGACTTGTCACGTGGCGATTTTTTAGTGGATTGTAGTGCCACTATGCAAAGTCCAGTAGTAAGTCAAACCCCACACAAGTTTTTCTCCACACGTGGGCATAAACAACTCGTGTCTAAATGTAATTGGCCCTTGAATTTTTCTTTAAGCAAGCATGCTCAATGATACAAATCTCTCACAGATCGTGCTACTCACGTAATACAATAAGTAGAATCTATTACACGAAACAAATCTCTCACAAATCGTGCTACTCATGTAATACAAGTAGCACGAGACGAATTCTCACAGTGAGCTACTCACGTGATACAACAAAAATTACCATACCACATAGGAAAGACTTCACCACAGTAATTTTGTGAAAATTATGCACAGTAGATAAAAAATAATGAGAAATTGGGCTTACAAGCCTTTTCCAAATACACCAACCAAAATTAGCCCCCCTTGTAGAATGCAATCTCTACTTGCCCTCTGACGAAAATACCTTAAGATTGAGTCAATAATCTACCAATATTGCATCGGTAACGAGGGTATTTTCATCAAAGAGGGCATTTCGAGACGACTATTTTTGGTTGGTGGGTTTGTAAAAGCGCCACCAAACCCAATTTTCCAAACCAATTCACAAGGGTTTGGAAGACATGAACAAAAAGAGGAAAGTTCACCATATACTTGATAAAATAGTGGTTTAGGAACAAGAGAAAAGTTTGTTACAAATTCCTAGCCCCCAAGGGCTATATACTAATGTCAGCACAAACTAAATGAAGGAAGCACCTAATTCACCAAAACTAGTCCATATGCTTCGAAATTATGACCGAACCTCGTACAATATAGAGATGATCAGTTTGCCTACACCAAAAACATTTACCTAAAACAATAAACACCCGATAACCAGACGAATTAAGCCGACAAATCTTAACATCACTAGCCGGAGAAGAAGGCAAGCAACGTTTTGTCAATAGAAATCAGAAGAGCTTTGCCGGCCAAGACAAGCAACTTTCCGTACTACTTTTACGCATAATACATGTATAGGCTGCTTGAAGCAGCACAGGCGATTAAATCCTCAGAAGGGTGCCATGCAAGATGTAGCAACTTTGTTGTGAAGTCAAAAGGATTTCCGTTTGCATCAGCTCCAGAGTTATCCGCACCTTTTATGTTATGATGGAAGAACATACCTCGCCTGATAACACGACGAAGGTTGCCCGAAGATTGAACTTGTCTCCTGGAAGTTCATGAGAAAAATTATAAGCACATTTGACCAAGAGAACAAAAGAAAATAAACAAGAGTTTTTCTTGGACCAAAATGATACTATGCCCTAACAATAGCATGCCTGACGAGCATATATAGAATTTAAAAAAGATACCTCAGGGGGTTTTTGCTGGCCTCCAATGTTGTTGCTTCTGTGCTCCCTTCAGAACAACCAAACACTCGAAACAGATTGCTGGAATCACAGAAATGTGTTTCTTCATACGTTGAGCCCCACACTGCTTAGGTCAGGGTGTAAGTGTAAAAGCAACAAAGGATGTGTATGGTGTAAGTCTAACCTGTAAGAACCTGTTGCCACTCGGTGTCCATCTCCACTTAGACAGCACTCAAACTTATCGAAGATAGAATCATTTTCGTATAAATCACAGAGCTGAGAAAGGTAAAGAACTTAATAAGTTGCATTGTATGGTATTACTTAAATGGTCTCGTCTTCTTTTAAGATCACATGTGATCAAACAAACTTTTTGAAGGAACATATTACCTTTGGTCTTAGATGTTCATGAATCTGAAAAGTGGCAACTGGGCCAGAATCCATGTTGATGTCCCATAACTGAGAAACCCCAAAAAGAAAAGGTGAGAACAAAAATTGTAACGGACAGGGTTAAGAATCAGAGAAATCTGAAGACAAGAAGTAGTTGCAATGCCCAAACTCACCACAAGCACAAAATTGAAAATCATGATATCAAGTACTAACTCTAAACATCACAGTAACAACATTAGCATATTTTAGCTGAGGAAGCAACAGAAACAGTGAGATATTGGGGGCTGCACCCATAGAGGGCATTGCCCACGTCACCAATCCACTGTAAGGAAGGCAGGGAAAGAGGGATGGCACAAACAGTGAGATATTGAGGGCACCCATAGAGGACATTGGCCATGTCACCAATCCAATGGAAGGAAGGAATATTTTAGCTGAGGAATCAACAGAAACAGTGAGATATTGAGGGGTGGCACCCATAGAGGGCATCACTCATGTCACCAATCCACTGAAAGGAAGGGAAGGAGGGACGGCAGAAACAGTGAGATGTTGAGGGGTGGCACCCATAGAGGGCATTGCCCGTGTCACCAATCCACTGGAAGGAAGGGAGGGAGGGAGGGAAAATAAGGTTTTCAAGTGTTTGTTACTTGCAACTTTGTTTCTAGGACAAATGATACTGAAGTTTCTAAATATTGGAAGTATGAACCATCTTATTATAAGAGTATGAATATATGAACCTTAAGAGTCATGTAATCCCGACTTAGTATATGTCTTCCGTTCTTAGCAAACTTAATATCTGAAATTGCTGCTATTATTTCAGTGAAAAAAGATCTTGAGCCGGGCGCTTCTTGTTCTTCAAACCTGCACCATTACAAATCATAATTACGATTCAAAGCAAACCAAGAAATTAAAGACGGCAAAAAATGTCAAAAGATTTCTCATACATTTATTTTATTATAATACTAAATCATCTTTGATGAGTCCAAGAATGGAAGGAAGGAAGAATGAAAGATGACTCACAATTTGCTATGAGTGTCACATAAAGCTGACTGCCGCAGATCTATAAGACGAATTGAGCCTTTTGAGCTACTGTATGCCAACATGTTACAATGAGTAGGGTGAAATTCAGCGGATGTTATCACCTCTGCACATAAATTTCAAGTATGTAAAGATAAATAATTACACATGTGGAGCTGTTTGACAAACAAAGCATATAAATAAGGCATAATTCAAGTTTACTACATGGCCAGAACATTTCAGCCATCCAAACCTAATGAAAAGGGAGATCAAAGTAAATAGAAACAGATGAAATCTAAGAAAGACATAATAGCATGCCATTTAATGAAACATTATCCAGAATATGACCGAATGGAAGACCAGGAGCCTTGTAGCAGGCCCAAATAATTGGGTCAAGGTTATGTCTACTGCCATTTCTCTTCAAATGATAGTTAAAAGCTAGGAAAGTAAGCAATTGTCATCATAGTGTTGTGGGTTCTACCAGTTAGATCCTCCATGTTTACCGGCTTCATGTCAACAATATTAAAACTTTGATTGCTAATCTCTAGGTTCCAAAGATTAATTCGAAGGTCATCAGCTGATAAAAAAGTTTCACCACCGCTGCAAAACCAAAAGATAGCTACATTATTAGTGACCAGAAGATGGAGACCTTGTTAGATTATATCCATGCAATAATACCAAAGAATATACTGCATAATGCATATTAGCAAGACTCGACATCGAAGATAAATCTTTTTCATCTAGTGACATAAATTGTTCTTTAGTGTCACCGTGTGCTACAGAAACTGGTTTTTTTTTTTCTTTTGGGGGTGGGGGAAGTCCGACAACTACACAATTGGCTCCTCCATGATAAGGTAATTAAATAATAGAATTTTCAAATAGGAGCACAAGCATCAAGGCAAACACTGAACATACACAACAAGATTAAAAATAGATGAAAAGGTGAAGGCATATTCCATTGAAAAAAAAAAGATGTACCTGTTATTTGAAATCGAATTAATATGATAGTCATGAGCATTGGCATAGAGTCTTCGACATCTAGCCACAAGGCTCGTCTCTTGACCGGTCACCTGGATGCCACAAATGGTCAAGTGTTAGAGCTAAATAATAGGTTGTCATTCACCAAGAAAGTAAAGCACAATTGACTCTGGAAAATTTTCGAAATATCATAAGGCAAAACCATATGCTGTCACAAAATAAACAAATCAAATAGTGTACAACTACCACTGGCAAGTGCAGAGATGGAAATGAAGTGTCATTGCTTGGAGAACTGACGGGTCTGTCTTTACATGCTCCATTTGCAAGATACGGTTTTGAGATTGCTGACATGGAACTAGCAACTGCACCATTTTCCATAGATTTAGCCCCAGTTCGGGGTTGAGGTGATTTTTAATAAAGCTGGTATGAAAAAAAGCTGGGAGAGTTTTTGGTGTTTGGTAAACATCCCAAAACAGCTTTATTTCAAAGTTTCAGATGAAAAAAAGCCAAAAAGTGGAAGCTGCAAAAAGCAGCTTCAAGAAGCGGCTTATTAAACAAAACACGGAGCTACAGTACTTTGTTAATGAATTTTTCCAAATTGCCAATACTGCCCCCTCCTTTCTCCTTTCTCCTTTCTCCTGATTCCTCAAAACACTTCGCACGCCCTCTTCTCTCTCGCAAAACACTCCGCACGCCCCTCTTCCCTCCTGCCGCTGCACAACTCCTCATTTTCCTCTCTCTCCGTCGTTCTCAGCGCCACACCGCCGTCGCCTTCCAGGTAGCAGGTACTCGATTTGCTGTAATTAATTAATTTAATTTTAAGGTTAGTGTTTGGCTGCTCTCTCCAGTTTGCTTCTATTTTTGTAGTTTAATTTTAATTCAGGGTTTGGTTCTAGCAGCTAACATGGATGATGAACCGATTTTTTTGGGGTTTTCTGAAGCAGGGTTTATTTGCCAACCAACGAACGAGCTCGATCTCATTGATTAGGTAAACATAACTCTCTCTCTCCCTCTCCCTCTCCCTCTCCCTCTCTCTCTCTCTCTCTCTCTCTCTCTCTTCCATCGTTGAAGCAATTTCAGTTTTGGTGTTTGAATTAATGTTCTAATTTTCAGTTTTGGGGTTTGAATTAATTCTCTAAATTTCAGTTTTGGGGTTTGAATTAAGGTTCTAATTATTATCATGAGATCCATGAAGCAATTTCAGTTCTTAGGGTTTGATTGGCAACTATAGTGTTGCTCTGTTTGTTATCATGAGATCCATGACCCCAAATCTCCTCCTCTTTTTCTGCCCTTTTTTATTTTTAATTTTTGTTTATGTACTTTGTTTGTTTGTTTCTTAAACACACTACCTGTTTCCTGCAATGTGGGTTTGTTTTTTCACTTGGGTTATCCAATGGCAATTGTGACCGTGAGCAACAACTACGAATTCCCTGCATCTATATTCTTTTTCATGCATATGCTAGATGCATTGTATGTTTATTTGGTATATCAAAGGGACTGGCTGAATCATGATTATCATTGAAAACCTCCAACACACACACATATATATGATTGCGAGTTGCTTCTGCTTATGTTAGGTTTACTACCTGTTTTCTGCTTGGTTACATTACAATATTATTTGTTCTTGTTTTAATATAAATATATATAAATCACTGGTTGGTATCGATGGCAAAGAAGGGGGCATCTTTGTCAAATCCTACAGCTACATGGAATGCCCACAATATATCTATATTTTGTGATGTATGCATCAAGGAGGTTGAGGCTGGACATCGTCTGGGCACTCACTTTGACAAAGATGGATATGCAAATATTAGAGCTAACTTCAAGGCAAAGACAGGGCATGATTATGAAAGAAAGCAACTGAAAAATAAGTGGGATGCACTTAAAAAGAGTGGAAGTTGTGGAAAGTGCTAGTTTGTAAAGACAATGGCCTAGGGTGGAATTCGAGCAAGGGTACCGTTGATGCATCTGAGGAGTGGTGGAATAATAAAATTCAGGTTTGTGTATTTATCTTTTAATATGTATTATGATATCATGCAATATGTATTAACCATATTCTTTCTTTACTTGTAGATAAACAAAGAATATGGAAAATTGCGAAAAAAGGGCATTAGTCTTGAGATGGATGAAAAGTTAGATAGGATGTTTTCGAACACAGTTGCTACCGGTGAACATGCCTGGGCACCTTCATCTGGAGTACTACCAACGGAGACAAGAGAGTAGTCCGTAGGACAAATTGATTTAGATGATGAGGAAGAAAGTGAGACTATGCAGGATCTAAGGCAAGCTACTAGGAAGGGAAAAAAAAGAGCGGCGAACCAAGGAGAATTGCAAAAGAAGAAGGTTGATAAGAAAGGGAAAAAAATTGGAGGTGTTGCAAAACTTTGTGGTCATCCCAAGAATACTGTATAAAATGAAATGGCTAAAGTAATCACCATCTTTGTTCCAAGAATAATGTATAAAATGAAATGGCTGAAGTAATCGCCATCTTTGTTCCGAACAATATATAAATGGAAAGGGCAATGCAACTAATGTCGCTAAAATTACTCTGGAAGATGTGATATCGAGAGAAATCATCTTTTATATAATAATCTAACCACATACGAGTTCAAAAGGTTGGTGCTACCTTCCAGTATTTGATGGTTTTGCTACTAGTGGAGAGGAGAAACAGTGCACCGTTAGCTGTTTGACACCATCTGATCTTGTTGATTTTTTCCTCAATTTCCAAGCTCTTAAGATAATCAAACTGAGTTCAGGAAAAACCAAGATGCAAGTTAGGATGCAAGTTAGTCAAATCCAGATTCCAGCAAAGAGGAAATCTCCATAAGCCTATTTATACTTGTCCTCGTTAAGCACAAAGAAAGCCATACCTCGATTTTATGACTCTGGAATTCAGTTTTATAGCGGAACTCAGGATGCCCACTGATTGAATAATCCATCCTCTCCAGATCTCTCCGGTGTCCACCATGCTAATTATTTAAGTTTATACCATCAAAGTACAACTAAATCACACCAGTGTAACAAATATAACGGCATATTATGTACAAGGAAAATGCACATCCATGCCCCAAACCCCTCAAAAGAAAAATGTATTAACTTACATCCTTTATATCAGTTCTTTCAAATAAAACCACGCGGCCTCCACAATCTCCAGTGGCAAGGTGGTCCCCCGTTCTATCAAATTCAATAGCGGATATTATATCAACTGCAAAAACAACCAGCAAGTAAGCAAACCTAAGTAATTCTGCACCAAAGCACTTCAATGCCCTCAAACACTCTATAAAGTATCTTTTTCAGAAATTCAAAAGCGGGTATATAAGTATAGCTATTGATCGCAAATGACGCGTTCTTCACACTTGATTAACAAGTTCACTTATTTCTCAAATCTAGGGCCTTTTAAGTTTAAAAATATAGCTCTACACGTATCGATCGCAACAATATGTTCGAAAATGAATCCCTATACTAATCAACATCATAACTCGTTTGAAAGTGCTTTTAAAATGGCTGAAAGAGTTTTTGGTGAAAATGTTTTTAGAACCAACCCTGAGTGAAAATGGAAGTAAATCATTGAAAAACACTTAGCTTTCTGAACAATGCACATAACTGGTGCTTCTTACAGAAAGCACTTCAAGTGCTTTTGGAACCAAACACATTTTCTCTAAAAGTGCTTTCAATCATTTTAAAAGCACTTCCAACGAGCCCAAAATGTAGTGAATTAAATTAAAAGAAAAATAAAAACTAACAGCTACACAAATAGACAACCTCCAAATGTATAGCTTCATCAATAATAGCCACAAAACCACCAGCCAATAACTTAAGTATTCAGCTCAAATGCTTCGGTCATCAAAAGACCAAACTTTTTCGATTAAATTTCTTTCGCGCCTCACGATTCTCATCATTCAATACACAATTTCTGCAACAAATCATCCGCTAAATGTATTTAACATTAAATTAATAGTATTAAACGTAATGAGAACGAAAGCAATAGTGAATCCCTAACAATACGAAACGAAACGAAAATCAGGGGAAGAGTATTACTCTTACCTTCCTGAACTTCTTCGCCGGCGGTCCTTTCTCCGAAGACCTTCGCAAACTTCCACTCGAGCGGCGATACGGCCACCCCTGACGTCGCCAGAGCCGCGAGGCCCTCTCCGCCGCCGTTCATTTGTTTATTCCAAAAAAATCGACTAGGAAACGAGCAGAGAAAGAGAGAAGAGAAATCAATGCAGAGAAATCAATGCAGAGCAAATCGATCTGAGGGATTGGATTTGCGTGAATCTCACGGATTCGGACCAATCTTCATCGAAAAATCAATGCAGTCTCTTCCTTCTTCTTCATCCATTCCCAGCCTTACGCGTACGGTCCTCACAGCGATGGAATTTCCACTCTCTCGCTCTGATTCTCTCTCTCTGATCGCTTGTTTTTTTTTTTTTTTTTTTTTTCTTCGTTTGTTGCTGAAATAGAGAGGAAGAAAACGACGCAGCAGGACGTAGCTTTTTAGTTGACTTCGTGGATGTCTAAATAATGGACCCCTCCACTTCCGGTGTTCTTTCGTTCCGTGCTCTCCTGTTTTATGTAATCACGATTAAGTCACGTTAATATTTTATATTATTTTTTTTATAAATATAATAAAACAAAATTGAATAATAATATAAAATATTAACGTGACTTAACCGTAACCATATAAACAGGAGGGCACGGGAGAGCAAGGGCAGACAATCCTTGTCTCTAAATAATTCAGCGTCCTCACTATTGATATTTTATTTATTTATTTTTAATGTAGCACTTTTTATTGTTGAAATTTTATAATTGAAATGGTTTGGCAGTTTGTATTATGGTTTAATGGTATTTATCTTTGTATAATGGTATTTGTCTTCACTTGTAAGAGAGGTCTTTGTTGAGTCATATACTTTCATAGGGAAAATATAGGGTAAATTACATAGTAACCTCTCAGGTTTGAGGTCTATTGCAATCTTATACAACATCTTTAAAACATTTCACTTTCATACCTCAAGTACTATTTTATTTCAATTTCATACAACCGTTAGATTTTCCATCCATGGATCTGTTAAATGCTGACGTGGCTGCCACATATATGACACGTGGCTGCCAAATGTCTGCCACGTGACAAATAAAATATTTTTTTTTTTTAATATTAGAGGTATTTTAACATCACATATAGATGAGACTTTGAAAAAAATTACCATACCACATAGGAAAGACTTCACCACAGTAATTTTGTGAAAATTATGCACAGTAGATAAAAATAATGATTTTCCAAATACACCAACCAAAATTAACCCTCCTCGCAGAATGCAATCTCTACTTGTCCTCTATGACGAAAATACCTCAAGATTAAGCCAATAATCTACCAATATTGCGTCGGTAACAAGGGTATTTTGGTCAAAGAGGGCATTTCAAGACGACTATTTTTGGTTGGTGGGTTTGTAAAAGGGCCACTAAACCCAATTTTACAAACTAATTCACAAGGGTTTGGAAGACATGAACTAAAAGAGGAAAGTTCACCATATACTTGATAAAATAGTGGTTTAAGAACAAGAGAAAAGTTTGTTACAAATTCCTAGCCCCCAAGGGCTATATACTAATGTCAACACAAACTAAATGAAGGAAGCACCTAATTCACCAAAACTAGTCCATATGCTTCGAAATTATGACCGAACCTCGTACAATATAGAGATGATCAGTTTGCCTACACCAAAAACATTTACCTAAAACAATAAACACCCGATAACCAGACAAATTAAGACCGACAAATCTTTGATTCCCAGTGAAACTGTCGAAACAATGTCTAACATGGAGCCTTCACTGTCCAAAGGAACCGATACTTGCTAAACAAAGAAAATCAGCAGACTCTGAAAGAGGGGGAAAGAATGGTTAGAATAAAAACAGTGATAAAAGTTTCACAAACCCTTTTAACTTTACTTCAAATAATACAAGGTTGAAGGCCCCGGTATCAATGAGTGTTGATGGCACCACTACAGCTTCTCCCAGCTTCACGATATAGGACCCAATTGGTTTCTACTGTGGCAGCAAAGGTATTCTTTCGGTAGGCGGATGAGCTAATATCCCATCTCTTCAACTAACAAGACACAATTAGGACTACAGCATCCTCCTTCCGAGTTACCATAAACAGCAAGGTATCGCCTGTATGTGAGGGGCAGATACTACTTTCTTCTTGAAAATGTTGACATCAGCAAAAATGCTTCCTCATTTTGCAGTTAGGTAGGGTGCAGCTTAACATCACTAGCCGGAGAAGAAGGCAAAGCAGCCTTTTGTCAATAGAAATCAGAAGAGCTTTGCCGGCCAAGACATACAACTTTCCGTACTATTTTTACGCATAATACATGTAAAGGCTGTTTGAAGCAGCACAGGCGATTGAATTCTCAGAAGGGTGCCATGCAAGATGTAGCAACTTTGTTGTGAAGTCAAAAGAATTTCCGTTTGTGTCAGCTCCAGAGTTATCTGCACCTTTTATGTTACAATGGAAGAAAATGTGCAGAGATAGTGGTTAGCAGATAGGCTACCATCAAGTACCAAACCTCGTTAAATCTAACTAATTAGGATATAAAGAAGAGAACTACCGAACCTAAATGGTTCAAATCTGAATTTTATTCTCTCTTTTACCAAAAAAAGTTAAGTTCATTCGAGACTGAGTGGAAATCAATTATGTTAGATTTTATTTAGACCACTCAAAATTTTCAGACAATGGACTATGTATACAAAGTTTACATGCAAGCAAGAACATACCTCGCCTGAGAACACGAGGAAGGTTGCCCAAAGATCTAGAAGGCCTTGCTGGCATTTGAACTTGTCTCCTGGAAGTTCATGAGAAAAATTATAAGCACATTTGACCAAGAGAACAAAAGAAAGTAAACAAGAGTTTTTCTTGGACTAAATGATAATATGCCCTAACAATAGCATGCCTGACGAGCATATATAGAATTTTAAAAACTACCTCATGGGGTTTTTGCTGGCCTCCAATGTTGTTGCTTCTGTGCTCCCTTCAGAACAACCAAACACTCGAAACAGATTGCTGGAATCACAGAAATGTGTTTCTTCATATGTTGAGCCCCATACTACTTAGGTCAGGGTGTAAGTATAAGAGCAACAACGGATGTGTATGGTGTAAGTCTAACCTGTAAGAACCTGTTGCCACTCGGTGTCCATCTCCACTTAGACAGCACTCAAACTTATCAAAGATAGAATCATTTTCGTATAAATCACAGAGCTGAAAAAGGTAAAGAACTTAATAAGTTGCATTGTATGGTATAACTTAAATAGTCTTGTCTTCTTTTAAGATCACTGCGATCAAAAAAACTTTTCGAAGGAATACATTACCTTTGGTCTTAGATGTTCATGAACCTGGAGAGTGGCAACTGGGCCAGAATCCATGTTGATGTCCCATAACTGAGAAACCCCAAAAAGAAAAGGTGAGAACAAAAATTGTAACGGACAGGGTTAAGAATCAGAGAAATCTGAAGACAAGAAGTAGTTGCAATGCCCAAACTCACCACAAGCACAAAATTGAATATCATGATATCAAGTATTAACTCTAAACATCACAGTAACAACATTAGCATATTTTAGCTGAGGAAGCAACAGATGCAGGGAGATATTGGGGGTTGCACCCATAGAGGGGACTGCCCACGTCACCAGTCCACTGAAAGGAAGGCAGGGAAAGAGAGAGGGCAGAAACAGTGAGATATTGAGGGGTGGCACCCACAGAGGCCATCGCCCATGTCACCAATCCACTGAAAGGATGGGAAGGAGGGACGGCAGTAAAAGTGAGATGTTGAGGGGTAGCACCCATAGAGGGCATCGCCCATTTCACCAATCCACTAGAAGGGACTAGGGAGGGAGGGAGGGAAAATAAGGTTTTCAAGTGTTTGTTACTTGCAACTTTGTTTCTAGGACTAATGATACTGAAGTTTCAAAATATTGAAAGTATGAACCATCTTATTATGAGAGTATGAAGATGTGAACCTTAAGAGTCATGTAATCCCGACTTAGTATATGTCTTCCGTTCTTAGCAAACTTAATATCTGAAATTGATGCTATTATTTCAGTGAAAAAAGATCTTGAGCCGGGCGCTTCTTGTTCTTCAAACCTGCACCATTACAAATCATAATTACGATTCAAAGCAAACCAAGAAATTAAAGACGGCAAAAAATGTCAAAAGATTTCTCATACATTTATTTTATTATAATACTAAATCATCGTTGATGAGTGTAAGAATGGAAGGAAGGAAGAATGAAAGATGACTCACAATTTGCTATGAGTGTCACATAAAGCTGACTGCCGCAGATCTATAAGACGAATTGAGCCTTTTGAGCTACTGTATGCCAAAGTGTTACAATGAGTAGGGTGAAATTCCGCGGATGTTATCACCTCTGCACATAGATTTCAAGTATGTAAAGATAAATAATTAGTAATTACACATGTGGAGCTGTTTGACAAACAAAGCATATAAATAAGGCATAATTCAAGTTTACTACATGGCCAGAACATTTCAGCCATCCAAACCTAATGAAGGAAGATCAAAGTAAATAGAAACAGATGAAATCTAAGAAAGACATAATAGCATGCCACTTAATGAAACATTGTCCAGAATATGACTGAATGGAAGACCAGGAGCCTTGTAGCAGGCCCAAATAATTGGGTCAAGGTTATGTCTACTGCCATTTCTCTTCAAATGATAGTTAAAAGCTAGGAAAGTAAGCAATTGTCATCATAGTGTTGTGGGTTCTACCAGTCAGATCCTCCATGTTTGCCGGCTTCACGTCAACAATATTAAAACTTTGATTGCTAATCTCTAGGTTCCAAAGATTAATTCGAAGGTCATCAGCTGATATAAAAGTTTCACCATCGCTGCGAAACCAAAAGATGGCTACATATTAGTGACCAGAAGATGGAGACCATGTTAGATTATATCCATGCAATAATACCAAAGAATATATTGCATAATACATAAAAGCAAGACTCGACATTGAAGATAAATCTTTTTCATCTAGTGACATAAATTGTTCTTTAGTGTCACCGCGTACTACAGAAACTGGTTTTTTTCTTTTGGGGGTGGGGGAAGTCCGACAACTACACAATTTGCTCCTCCATGATAAGGTAATCAAATAATAAAATTTTCAGATAGGAGCACAAGCATAAAGGCAAACACTGAACATACACAACATGATTAAAAATAGATTAAATGGTGAAGGCATATTCCATTGAAAAAGATGTACCTGTTATTTGAAATCGAATTAATATGATAGTCATGAGCATGGGCATAGACTCTTCGACATCTAGCCACAAGGCTCGTCTCTTGACTGGTCACCTGGATGCCACAAAAGGTCAAGTGTTAGAGCTAAATAATAGGGTGTCATTCACCAAGAAAGTTAAGCACAATTGACTCTGGAAAATTTTCTAGATACCGTAAAGGCAAAACCATATGCTGTCAGAAAATAAACAAATCAGATGGTGTACAACTACCACTGGCAAGTGCAGAGCTGGAAATGAAGTGTCATTGCTTGGAGAACTGACGGGTCTGTCTTTACATCCATTTGCAAGATACGGTTTTGAGCTTGCTGACATAGAACTAGCAACTGCACCATTTTCCATAGATTTAGAAGCATCCATAGATTTAGAAGCATCCACATTCATCTCACATACTTTCTTTATCTTCTTCTCCTGGACCTGCTCAGCATTAGAGCAGGATTAGAACGTTTCCTTCCACAATGAAAAAAATTAAAATAATTAATCTTAAGTCGTTGTACCACCTATTGGAACCATAACAATTCATCAACTACACTCTGCTTGTGCGTATGTGCGTGTTAATCCCAAGAATAATATATAAAATGAAATGGCTGAAGTAATTGCCATCTTTGTTCCGAACAATATATAAATGGAAAAGGCAATGCAACTAATGTCGCTAAAAATTACTCTGGAAGATGTGATACCGAGAGAAATCATCTTCTATATAATAATCTAACCACATACAAGTTCAAAAGGTTGGTGCTACCTTCCAGTATTTGATGGTTTTGTCATTAGTGGAGAGGAGAAACAGTGCACCATTAGCTGTTTGACACCATCTGATCTTGTTGATTTTTTCCTCAATTTCCAAGCTCTTAAGATAATCAAACTGAGTTCAGGAAAAACCAAAGTAAGATGCAAGTTAGGATGCAAGTTAGTCAAATCCAGATTCCAGCAAAGAGGAAATCTTCATAAGCCTATATATATATGTCCTCGTTAAGCACAAAGAAAGCCATACCTCGGGTTCATGACTCTGGAATTCGGTTTTATAGCGGAACTCAGGATGCCTACTGATTGAATAATCCATTCTCTCCAGATCTCTCCGGTGTCCACCATGCTAATTATTTAAGTTTATACCATCAAAGTACAACTTAATCACACCAGTGTAACAAACAAAATATAACGGCATATTAAGTACAAGGAAAATGCACTCCATGCCCAAAACCCCTCAAAAGAAAAATGTATTAACTTACATCCTTTACATCAGTTCTTTCAAATAAAACCACCCGGCCTCCACGATCTCCAGTGGCAAGGTGGTCCCCAGTTCTATCAAATTCAATAGCGGATATTATATCAACTGCAAAAACAACCAGCAAGTAAGCAAACCTAAGTAATTCTGCACCAAGCACTTCAATGCCCTCAAACACTCTATAAAGTATCTTTTTCAGAAATTCAAAAGCAGGTATTCAAGTATAGCTATTGATCAAAAGTGACACGTTCTTCACACTTGATTAATAAGTTCGAACTTATTTCTCAAATCTAGGGCCTTTAAGTTTAAAAATATAGCTCTACATGTCTCACAAATGAATCCATATACTAATCAACATAATAGCTCGTTTGGAAGTGCTTTTAGAATGACTGAAAGCGCTTTTGGAACCCAAACACATTTTCTCTAAAAGTGCTTTCAATCATTTTAAAAGCACTTCCAACAAGCGCAAAATGTGGTGATTTAAATTAAAAGAAAAAAAAAAACTGACAACTACACAAATAGACAACCTCCAAATGTATAGCTTCATCAATTAATAGCCATAAAACCACCAGCCAATAACTTAAGTATTCCGCTCAAGTGCTTCGGTCATCAAAAGACCAAACTTTTTTTATTAAATTTCATTGGCGTCTCACGATTCTCATCATTCAATACACAATTTCTGCAACTAATCATCCGCTAAATGTATTTAACATTAAATTAATAGTATTAAACATAATGAGAACGAAAGCAAAACGGAATCCCTAACGATACGAAAATCAGGGGAAGAGTATTACTGTTACCTTCCTGAACTTCTTCGCCAGCGGTCCTTTCTCCGAATACCTGCGAAAACTTCCACTCGAGCGGCGATACGGCCGCCCCTGACGTCGCCGGAGCCGCGAGGCCCTCTCCGCCGCCGTTCATTTGTTTATTCCAAAAAAATCGACTAGGAAACGAGCAGAGAAAGAGAGAAGAGAAATCAATGCAGAGCCAATCGATCTGAGGGATTGGATTTGCGTGAATCTCACGGATTCGGACCAATCTTCATCGCAAAATCAATGCAGTCTCTTCCTTCTTCTTCATCAATTCCCAGCCTTACGCGTACGGTCCTCACAGCGATGGAATTTCCACTCTCTCCCTCTGATTCTCTCTCTCTGTGATCGCTTTTTTTTTTTTTTTTGCTGAAATAGAGAGGAAGAAAACGACGCAGCAGGACGTAGCTTTTTAGTTGATTTTCGTGGATGTCCAAATAATTCAGCGTCCTCACTATTGATATTTTATTTATTTATTTATTTTTAATGTAGAAATTTTTATTGTTGAAATTTTATAATTGAAATGGTTCAAATTTCTTAATTATTGTTTACAGATCTTATTTGTTTCAAATTACTTGAATTAGTATTATTTAGTTCTTATTAGTTGTTTTTTTTTAAATGACAACCGGTGGCAAGCCACGGATACCCATCCATTTTGGGGGTCAAAAAGACTCATAGAGGCATTTTAGTATTTCATTGGCCACAAGTCTGGATTCCAAACCAACAGTGGGATTCGAACCCGAAACCTCCAATTTTTAGTTTTAAGGAAGCATCGTAATCTATCATTTACCACTAGATCACCAGTTCGTAGTTGTTCTTATTTATTGTTTGGTCATGCATACACGTCAAAACAATTATGAGTTTATTGTGGAAATTATTGCAAATTTAATTGAGTTGTTTTGTTCAGACACTCAATTAAATTTTCATTAATTTAGTTGATTTTTATTCCTTGTGTAGTGACGGTAGTTACATAGTAGGCGGTTTGACAATTATTTTTTATATACTTTTAAAAAAATTAAAAATATAAAACTAAAAATGAAAGTCAATAAACGACTCCAAAAAATAAACAATTTCAACAGTAATAATATATAAATGAATATCTTAATAGTTTTATCTTGTTTATTTTTTACAAATATGATCTATAAATAATGTTCTAAAATATAAGACGGTTCAAAATATTAAAATACATTAGAGAGCATGTTTCACAATTCGTTATTTAATTTATTTTTTTTTTCATTTTTTTGTGTTTATGTTTTGGAGGAATATTTGTTTGGGAAATTATGGAACTTTATTAAAGCAAGAGACAATGCCAATTTATAGTAATGAAATCAAAAGTGGTAGTGGTATATTTAGAAGTGATAACTAATGAAAGAGACATGAATAATGTTATAAATTCTTTTTCTTTCTTAACTTTATGGATATGTTCGAGTGAAATTCGGCGTAGCTTACAACGAAGTTGTCTTTCTTTGATCCAACGTTGTTTGTCGGACTGTAGCAAGAAAAAAGGTCAAATCAACGGTGGATGTTTACTACTGTGAGCAATACATGAATTTATTTTGCTTTTGTTTTTTTGTAATTAAAATTTAATCTATCAAATTATTCTGAACTGACAGTTTTATCTGTATAAGATTGATGCGAGTATTTGACACAAAAAAGTTGATGTGTGTGTTTTTGTACACTAATGGAGAAAATGTGACCGTAATTATGTCATTCTCTTATAAATTCAATTTCGATTTTATGTGATGTTATGGGTACAAAAATGTCGTACGTGACGAGTTTTTTTTTTTATCTGTAAAGAGAATTCAATAAAACTAACTAAATTCATTGAATAATTGTACTTAACTATTTGACCAAAAGTTAAATAATTTTATTTTCATTTTGTTGGAGTAAAGGTTTGTCTTATTTACTCGAATCATATTTTGTAGACCACATAATGTGACAGTTGATTGTTGGAATTTTTGTTTATCACTTGAGTAAAAGTTAGGTTCCTAAACTTTTTTTTTTTATCAAATAAGTCTCTAAATTCATTTAAAATTGCTAATTTTTGTTTATCACATGACTTAAATTGATGAAAATTTTGAATTGAATAGCTTCAAATCTAATATTAGGGATGTAATTAACAGATTTTAATTAGTTAAGGACCGATTTTTTTTGAAAAAAAAAAGTTAGTTTATGAACCTAACTTTTACTTGGTTAATAATTCAAGAATTAAATCGACACATTACTATAATAAATAACAAATGAGATGCATTGATAGTTAAGGCCCAAACTAAGTCCAGAAGCAAATCTATTGACCCATTCAATATGGGCCTGACCCATGGACTCAATGGAGGACAGAAAGCGCCCAGCGGTCTCCCTTGTCTTTGTGTCGTCGTTTAAATAGATTGGGTGATTTGGGTCATCGTACCCACAGGATATTGGGTCGGGCCTGTTTCAACTGTAGCTCCTGACAGAAATACACGTCAGATCTGAATAAAGTCGTCTTTATGTCAGGACAATCCTCGTCATATCTTCTTTGTTTGGATCCTAGATATCCTCAAATCATATTCGTTGATCGTACATGGTACGATAATAAATTATTATAAATTTTTTATTTAAAATTAAATTTAAACAATACCTGATAAAAACTAGCTGTACAATATATAATGAATGAATATGATTGAAGAATCTCCGAATTCATGACAAAGAGGATCCGACGAAAATCCTGTCTCGCCTTTATGAACGATAGAAGCCATGGGGCTTTAAATGGGGCCCATTTGACCAGGTGTGAAACTTAAAAACATTTTCACGTGTAATATATGGGTGCTGGTTCCAAGTTTTGACGAAAACAAGGTTCACATGTCTGCCGATTGCCATGCTATGATGTCCAACTTTTTTTTTCCTTTTAAAAACGGACATAACTAATGATGAATTGCGGTTATCTATTTTTCTCAGATTAGAGGAAGTTAGTTGAAAATTACACCCTATTCGTGATCACGATCAAACATATTCAAGGCTATATGATTATACCCACAAAGGAAAACTACGTGTGTCGACTATGTTTTCACAAAATAATAATAATAATAATAATAATAATAATAATAATGCATCGACTATTGTGAGAATTGTTTTAGTTATACATTTGTACCGAAATTTTTAAAGATAAGACATAAAATACATTTTGTATACAATGATACATTTATTTTAAAACTTGTCACTTATAAATAAAAAATAATACATCTAAAATATAATACTATGAGCCATAAAATAACATATTGTTGTAAAATTGATGGTGGGTGCAGTGGAATAAATAAACAAGACACAAAATTTACGAGGTTCCTCTACAGTCAGTGTGACTGGAGTACATCCTCGGGGCAGCGCTGATGCTTTCATTATAATCTGAAAATAAGAGTACAAAAATAACTCTCTCTATTATCTCCTCTCCTCTTATTTCCTCTCTCTCTTTACCGTGATTTTCTCTGTATTTCTGAAAGCATTACGGAGTGCTCTATTTATAGAGCAACTCAAACAACCGTATTAATTACATATGGAAATTTACAGCATGTAACCTTTGACAAACATGATCTCCTGCATCCAAAGTCATTTTCCAATTTGCATGGTCATTGAAAACTTCTACCAATGTTTTCAGTTTCTACGTGGGCATTCATTACCCACTATTATTTTCAACACTCCCCCTTGGATGCCCACATATCAACATCAGTTACCTCGTTAAAACCTTGATATGTTTTGGATGCTCCCCCTGATGAGTATCTCCCCCTGTTTTCAAATCATTTAAGTTGATCGTTGATCATTCTGCTTCAGTCTCTTAGTAAGAAGAGTTGCCGAAAGAGGTGTTTTACTTGTTGTTAACTTTCCACAGGCTTGTTCTTGAACTGGGCTGAAGGACCTTCTGCTAGACTTGATCCAAAGGTCTGAATTTACTCCTTTTATCTGGAGCGGAATTTGATTTAAGGGTGGTGAACACTTGATCTTGAATCGGACTTATGATTTCTTCAAGGACCTTCGAGGGTTGATCTTGAATGAAATTGGACCATGAGGAGCTTCATGTGACAAGTGATCTTCGGTTTTGTCAGGGATGAATCAGCACGTGTTTGTTGCGCTTGTCTCCACATGCTTCAATGTATCATTTTCACTTTCCTTACTTGCTCCCCTTGCTTAAGTAGTATTTTCCCTGCTTTTCCCCCATGCATGCGTGGCATCTTCTCCTGCAGTATTTGCCCTCTGATGCAGGAGTGGAATGCAACCCTTGCATTTGGATGGTTCATCACTTCTTGGTGACTGGAGACCCAGCTCCAACAACAGTTGAAGATGACTACTCGAGAGCTAGGTAAGCAATCAGGAAAGGTTCCAGGCAGTCGGTTCCTTACCGGAGTTTGAGTGGAGGTTCCGACATATTGCTTTCTTTATCTTTGTCTTTGCAGGTAAGAACAAGGACAAATGAAAGGACAAGGAGATTGCATGATATGAGATACTCTTGCTCTCGTCCCTGATGATATGTGATATTCTTGCTCTGGTATGACTTGTTTTGGAGAGGTATTCTCTGAGAGGAAGAAAACTGAGTATGTTGAGAGGTTTGGTTGCAGATGCATCTTCGGCAATGAGAGAGAGAGAGTTAAGAGTTTTGGATGTATGCCTTGCCATGGAGGATGAAAGTCGACATATATAGGGATTTCCCCAATAGCAAGTAGTGGTGTGGACGTGACTTTGTCATCCACGCTTGTCGGCAACAGTGTTGTAGTTGGAATAGTGAAATTCACGCGTTTTCAACTTTATCAGAGATCTTTGACAAAGTTGTACGTGATATCCAAAAGCTGAGATTGCATCTGAAAAATGCCAACAAACTTTATTTGGGAAAATCTGGCTTTTGAAATTCAGAAAGATGTGCTTCTTCGATCTCTAAACAAGTGGCTCTCTTCTTTTATAGAGTTATTGATTGTATTCAAATTTGCACACTTTGAAGATTTCCCACTTGTGAAAATTGTATCTGCTGTATTTCTGAGATTTCACTATATCCAACATTTTTCTTTCATCAATTTCTGAAAATGGCTTGCTCATCTAACATTTGCTTAGATTTGAGTCTTAGGACTAATACAGGCGAGCCGCATCAGGATAATATATGGCACCCGTCTTTCTTATCTTCAAATGGTCCTCTTACGGTTGGGGACTCTATGATGAAGAATGACCTAATCGCTACAGTGGTAGCTAGGAATATTCTCACTCCCAAGGATAACAGAATCCTTTCAAACCGATCTGATGAGGCTGCCGTTCAAGACTCTTTGGCTCTCAGTATTCAATGTGCAAGCTCTGTCTCTAATATGGGTCAACGCCTACTTGCTCGAACTCACCAAGTTGAATCATTGATGGCTGAGGTCGCAAGTCTT